TCGTGAAAAAGTTGATTTCAATAATTCCATTCAAAAAGTGAAACTTGTATATTATGTTCATTACACACAGACTGATACATTTCAAATGCTTATTTATTTTAATGTTGATGATTATAACTGACAACTAATGAAAACCCCAAATTAATTAATTAATGAAAATTATGAGCATGTACTAAATAAATACTTAGTTGGGGCTCATTTTGCCTGGATTACTGCAGCCATGTGGCGTGGCATGGAGCTAATCAGTCTGTGGCAGTGCTCAGGTGTTATGAGAGCCCAGGTTGCTCTGATAGTGGCCTTCAGCTCTTCTGAATTGTTGGGTCTGGGGTATCGCATCTTCACAAAACCCCATAGATTTTCTATGGGGTTACTGTCAGGTGAATTTGCTGGCCAATTAAGAACACGGATACTATGGTCCCTACACACGATAATGGTAATTTTGGCACTGTGTGCAGGTGCCAAGTCCTGTTGGAAAACAAAATCTGCATCTCCATAAAGTTGGTCAGCAGCAGGAAGCTGATTGTGTAGCCTACAGAACTAACTGAGAGGCCTTTACAAGTGTTTTGAGTTAATTAGCTGATTAGACTGTGGCACTAGGTGTCTTCAATACTGAACCTTTTTACAATATTCAAATTTTCTGAGATACTCAATTTGGGTTTTTTATTAGTTGTCAGTTATAATGAATGAATATAATATACACGTTTTACTTCTTGACTGGAATTACTGAAATAAATCAACGTTTTCGTGATATTCTAATTTTATAACCAGCACCTGTATATTGGTGTGTTATTTTGATGGAATGGCTGATGTCCGATATTTAAATTTATTGCTAATATTGGCCGATACCAATACCATATCATATAATATTTTGCATCCATACTTTTATGAAAACTGCTCTGAACTCAAATAGTAGGCTGTGGTCCTCCGGTGGTGGTATGTAAAACTTTTATAATAATAATAATAATAATTTACTTATAACACATACAGGCAGATGAGAACCCAGTTGGTTAGACTGTTCTCTCTAGGTAAGCACCAATGTACGGCTTTTCAAGTGAGCATGTTGTTAGGCCTGAGCAGCGAAGCGCTGCAAAGGCCTATTGTAATCGTTCAGTTCATTAGGCCCAAGCAATTTCTCTGTCAAATGAATTGGCCTTTTGGGAGCCTTAACATATCCCAAAACTCACCAAATTTGGCGGACGCATCAGGATTGGTGAAAAATTATGTATTTTAAGGGCGTCACAAAAATCGCAACAGAAACGGCTCAAGAGCGACACCTGGAAATTTTCAAAATACTCTCCACATTAACCTTAGTTTGTCGTAGAAGTATGAAATTTGGTACATTTGTCCAATTCCCCAAGATGCACAGAAAAATCTCTGGCACCAATGTTGTAAGATAAACAGGAAGATGGCCATTTTGGAATGCCGTCCCAAATTTCACAACTTTTTGGCGGTTTACAGCATCCACATTTGGACGAACTCCTAAGGATTTCGCTCAACTGGTTTCAAACCTGGCCATTTTGTTCAAAAGGCATGGGGGATAAAAAGTTATCTAAACGGTGCGTTTAGGAGCATGCTGAAGGGGCAGGGCCAGAACTCAAAGTTTGACATCTCGCCATGAAAAACGAAACGCTAATAGCTCCTACAAGAAAAATGTCTGAGATATCAAACCTTGAGTGATTGATCCACATCCGGTCCCCTGCAAGACTGAATGGTCAAATCATGACATCACTTAAGCCACGCCCCCTGACAACAGGAAGTGTATAGTTTTACGTTGAACGGGCCCTATCTGACCCCTGTGATCTAATCAGCAGGATAGTGCGTCCAGTGACCAAAGACATGTTGGTATATCTTGCTTTCCAACACTGACAGTTTTGGGTGGAGCATGAGGGCGTCATGGTGTGGCAAAGTAAGACGTAACGCCGTCGCCATACATTTGGCTCTAAATTACCTAGATTTGAGCCGAGGTGCACCAAAATCACTATGATCAATCATTATCCACCCCTTGAAGAGGAATCCATGATAAGTGACCAATAGCCTCCACAGCACCCCCTAGAATATTTTAAAACTTCAGCCCAAGCCAATTTATGACAGATAATTCTGAAACTCGGCAAACATTTGTA